GGGGGGGGGGGGGGGTGCTTTTAAATCTTTTGTGGAAGTTGAGGAGTATATGTAAATGAAAGTTTCTATACCCGGAGTTCAACCTTAAAGTGACACTCCACGTGGCTTTTCCTAACCCAGGATTCCATATCAGACATTTACAGTTTACGTAAGTCGGTTCACTTGCATTATTTTTTCTTTCAGTGAGAAAGAAGCAAAAGAGAGGAAGAAGGACAAGCAGAACATAAAAAGGAAGAAGGAGTCTGATCTGCCCGCTGCCATCCTGCAGACGACCGGTGGGGTGTCTGAGCTGACGAAGAAGAGAAGCAAATTAGTTCTCCCGTCTCCCCAGGTATGGATTACCCTGAGCACACCGGGGTCATAGTGTCTGGGGACTAAGTAACCCCAGGAACCTCATTTTCACTGATTTACACTGGTTTGCTGGCAGCAAACCAAGCAAAACTCCTTACCACTTTACCACTCCTCCTTTTTGCAGGCACAGTCCAGTAACAAGAGTGACTAAATATAACAAAAAAGCTTAACCCATGGCCTTACCTTCAGTCTTGTTCTACCGACTCCTCTCCAGGACTGAAATTACTTACTCTGTCACTGCACACTGTGAGCTTCTCACGAGGGATGCACCGACCACCGGTTTTTCAGTATCTAGTGCGACTACTGATACTTTTGCCTAGCAACAGTGAAGTTGGCTTCCTAGCCAATCAGGAAGTCAGGTGGCGGGTCATAACCCACCGCCAGGTTTCCTGATTGGAAAGGAAGCCAACTCCATGCTCCCTTGGCTTTGCCGGTCAGAGGGAGATCTCCCTCTGACCGGAAGTTCCGGTATCAGAGCATTTGGGCGAGTACGAGTACTCGCCCAAATACTCTGTATCGGTACCGATACTAGTATTGGTGCATCCCTACTTCTCGCATTGCGCATTAGAAGCTGCAGCAAGTCAGAGCCCGCCTCATTTCCTGGTGAAGGAGGCCAAGTATCATCTAGCTCCAGTCTGACTGTCCCTGGCCTTCCCCTTTCACTGGATTTCAGTTCTTTCAATCACGGAGGTTCACCATCATATGTGGGCATTACCTAGGGTGGTCTTCTGTTTTGGGGCAGCATTGTACTGCACCCTTCTGGCCCCTACCACCAGCTGTTATCTGTCTGAATTGTATAGGTTAGAACAGAGAACACTGGGTCTAAAATAAGGTCTTTTTTTCCCCTTACCGTCTGAAGCAAGATAAACTAACCCGGACCACTAATCTAGCACTACAGAGGTGTCTGCGCTGGCCAGTCCCTTAGTGTTTACGTTTCTCCTCTTCTGGAGTTCCCCGCTGCCGGACAGCCAATAGAAGTGTCCAGGTCATGCAGGCAGTGACATGGATACCTTAAAGGAGAACTATGGGGTCAGGGCTTTTCCCCATAGTTCTCCTTAGGGTAACGGGAGGACACAAACTAGCGTCCCCCCCGTCACCCTAAGCTCAGTATATAGGGAACTACAACTCGCGGTGTACTGAGACCCAGCAGCTTAAGCGGATCCCGACAATTATGTCTGGATCCGCCCAGCTGCGTGAGTGACAGCTGGCTCTGCCTATCTAGAGGCAGAGCCAGCTGTACCCTCCCCCGTCCGTTCCGCCAGTCAGCGCTGGAGGAGAGGGGAATCCAGTCACGACAGAGAGGCGTGACAGGATCGAGAGGTGAGCGAACGCCGGTATGTGTTCGCTCACCTCCCGATCTACTGAGCCGACCTGTGACAGCCTCATTGTCACAGGTCGGCTAGAACTATGAGGTGAGTGAAAAGCACTCACCTCATAGTTCTCCTTTAAGGAGGACCCCGCTTCCTGTACACACAAAAGGAAAGAAGACTTCTATCGCATAACTGCAGCTTTAAAAGGCTCTCCCCCTAATGCCAGCCATTTTATTGGGGGTGGGGTAGTGGAATAATATGGAAATGGGCTTTAAATGCCCTCCTGCGTAAATAAAGGTCCTTCTGATGCCTGAAGTTCTCATTGTTCTATTGAAGAAACGTATAAAGAATTTTACCTTTTGCCGGTTTTTTTTTCTGTCTTCAGATATCGGACGCAGAGCTGGAGGAAGTAGTGAAGGTTGGCCAGGCCAGCGAGCTCGCCCGCCAGACAGCAGAGGAATCTGGAATCACAAACTCCGCATCCAGCACGTTGCTTTCTGAATACACTGTTGCTAATAACAGCATCGCCCTGAGGACGCCCAAAACTCCTGCCGCACAGGACCGCATCCTGCAGGTAACGTTAAAAAATCGCCAAATCGGAAATGCATTGATGGCTATTGAAACCATATGATGCAAATCTGAGATCTAACCATTCGTTTTTTTGTTACCCCTTTTTTATGCCGTTGATTAACCACTTGAAGTCCGTGGTGTTAAACCCCCCTTCCTGTTCCGGCCATTTTTCAGTATTCAGCGCTGCGGTACTTTGACTGACATTTATTCCGTCATGCAACGCTGTACTGAAATGAATTGTATACCCTTTTTTGGGGACAGATAGAGCTTTCTTTTGGTGGCATTTAATCACCACTGGGGGGGGGGTTTATTTTTTACTATATTTAAATACCACCAAAAGAAAGCTCTATCTGTCCCCAAAAAAGGGTATAAAATTCATTTCAGTACAGCGCTGCATGACGGAATAAATGTCAGTCAAAGTACCGCAGCGCTGAATACTGAAAAATGGCCTGGATGGGAAGGGGGTTTAACACCGCGGATGTCAACTGATTAAGGAAAAATTACCGGAAAAAAAAAAAAACTGTTTCCCCTATATTAAATTCTAAAACATTTATTATTACCCAATTTTTTGCTAAAATCTAAGAGTCGGGGTCAGGTCGGGTAAAAAGATAGCAAACATGTCAAGCCTTAAAATTGCGCGCATGCGAAACCTCAAAAAACTACAATACCCAAAATTGGCCATAGGCGACACTTTAAAAGCTTTTACGGCTCATCAGTTTAGTGTTATCAGTAATTGATGGCCCTAAAATGATTGCTGTCACTCCGACATTCACGGCGATATGTAACGTGTAGCAAAATTGTCATTTTCGCACGCTGGCGCATCGAACGCGTATTTACGTTTATAGGCGCGTAAACGTGGGGGTGGGCGACTTAAAAAATGTTTTATTTTTTTTATATGTGACTTATTTTTTCTTAAACTTTTTTTGCACTTATTGTTTTGGCAATTACATATGGGGAATGACAATCCTCCTATATAATAGCAAAGGCACACTGACAGGTCCTCTTTATGGAGACATTAGGGGTCTCTAAGACCCCTAATGTCACCTGGGGACCCCAAAAGAAGCTGATGAAGCAGAGATCTGCTTCATCAGCTTCTTCTCTCTGGCTATAGCAGCCAGATGACTGACAGGTGAATGCGGAAGTGATGTGTTACACATCACTTCTGCATTCCTAGTCCCAGGCCGCAGATGGGCTAGCAGATCCCGGGATTGAAGGTGAGGGATCAGGAGGGGGCGGCACTCATGGCTGCGGCTGCACTCGAGGAGGGGGGGCGCCCAGCCAGCACATACATACCATGGGCAGGCTATAGAGCCGCCAATTGTATGTATGTCAAACAGCCAGTAACGGCTGTAAAGAACGGGCGTTATTTTTCTGCCCGTGCGCGCGCGGAAGAAAAAGCCGTTTAATGACGGCAACCCGCCAATGCCAGTCCGCCGTCCGTCTGTTTTTTCACAACGGGCGGACAGCAAGAGGTTAAAGAGACCCTGTCAAGAAAAGGGAAAAAAAATAATTCCAGGTATAAAGTGAAGGCACTTAGAGGAGTGTGCACATAGCAAAGTGCTGTTATGGCTGGGAGGCAAAGCTCTGACGCTTCCATGTAACATCAGACCTTGCGTTGTGGCTCCGTGGTTGCCTTGCAGCACTGCAGTCCTCAGTTGGACTCCTGGCCAGGATACTACCTGCAATGGAGTTTGCATGTTCTATCTGTGCTTGGATTTCCTCCCGTTTCTGCTCTCCAAAGACATGGCAGTAGGTTAAATGGCTCTTTCCAACTTATGTGAATGAATAGTATATATGGCACTGTGTGCATTTTCAGTGCTATATGAAGAATGATATACACCTAGATATTATAGACAAGTATAACTTTGTACTGCAAGAGCTTGGCCAGACAGTGTGTACATCTGGCATTGTTCCTGGCAGCATACGTAGAGTTGTACATGGACTGGCTTAGCCAAAGAGATGTGTATCCTCCCCCAGCTCCGACACTGGTGCCTGGCATGGCCGGTAGTTAGCTGCTCTTGGACCTGCCATAATGTGTTTGTGTGATGAAGTACCTTCTTCTTTCAGGGAAGGGGTCAGACACCACTGCACATGCAATCTCTGCTATAAAATACAGTTCTGACAGTCATAGGTGCGCGGCCTCTGGGTTCTCATTAGAATAGCAGTAAATGGCTCTGTTTTTGACCAAACATTACATTGTGCCTTTGAGACCTAATTGGGATTAGGACGGGACTGGGGGTGTTTCTGAATTACAGAGTACAGACGCAGTCGAGCACAGTCACAATAAAGTACAGGTGA